CCAGAGGGCGACTCTGGCTCCTCTGCGAGAAGGTCGTGGAAAGATTCCGTGACGTGTTCGATCACCCCCATGAATTTGTTGTTTGTGGGAGGTGGAATCATGCGTTGTGCCACAAGGTGGCTAACAGTCTCCACGGCGTTGCGGAGACCGAACGGGAGCACTGTCGGGGCGCTCTGGATGAGGTGTTCCAGAGAGAGGGGTTCCCCTCTGGTGAGCCGAGCCATGTCGTTGGCGTAAGAGAAGGTGAGGTAGCGTAGGTCCTGCCGGGATGGCTAGGGTCCCAGGGAGATGTCAAGCTGGCGCTCAAGCCTCCCATAGTCGAGGAGCTGGTTGTTTCCGGGGGCATAGGCCCCCGGTGCATGCAGCTATAGCTCCTCAACCACCTCGTCGACTGTGTTGAGGCCGATGGAGGGGAGAGGTTGGATGGCGGTGTGAGCTAATGCCAACTCTCCTCCCATCGTGATGATGAAGACCAGGTCCCCAAAGCGCACATGTGCTACGCTCTGTTTCACGCTCCACGCGGGGCCCACGTCACCCAAGGGACAAGAGGGGAAGGGCGTGCGGCGCCTCCGATTCGAAAGGACCTGCCAGCAACGTCATATGGATGCCCTGCCGGCGTCAGGAGAGACGATACAGCAAAAGGTGGGGAGGAGAGATGCAACAACCGATCTACTTTTGGAACATCCAAATACAACAGTTGTAACATACGTCTGAAGGCAGTTGAAACAGTTAAAACATGTTTCTGAAACACTTGAAAAATACCTGAAAACACTTGAAAACCATTGCAACCATACGCAAACATCTAAATAAAATACATGCAACATATGTGTGAAACATATGTAACATCCAGATAAACACACTTGCAATATACGTCCAGAAAACACAGATGAAACATACATCTGAAACACTCGAAGCATGCACTTGCAACGTGTCTCTAAAACCATTGCAACATCCCCAGATCTACTTTCGCAACATTCATATGAAACAAATGCAACATACATTTGAAACGCCTGAAACGCTTAAAGCATACATATGCAACATAGCAGGAGAGAGAGCCTGGCACGGGGAGCGCCATGGGCACCGGGGTGGGGAAGCACGGTCGCCGGGACAAGAGAGGGCACCGCCAGGGGTGGGGAGGGCGTCTCGCCCAGGTGGGGAGCGCCGCCTACTCCCCTGCAACACCGCCGCGCCACCTCCAAAGGATCTCGCTCGTGCTCCATGGATCTCGCAAGTGTGGATGAGAGGGCTGTTGAATCTACGAGCGTTGGGGGCTCCCGGTGGGAGGGGACGCCGAGGTGAAGGAGGACGACGCCGGGGTGGGGGAGGGGTGCCGTCGGGGTGGGGGAACGAACTGCCGGGGTGGGTGAGTGCGCCGCCACCGGCTAGGGAGGCAGCCATGGCCACGCGTTGGGGTAGGTGAGGGCGCGCGCTAGAGTGGGTGAGGGCGCCACTGTCGGCCATGGAAGGAGCGGGCAGCTCACGCGATGTAGGGGAGAGAGGTGAGCGAGCCGGTGGATGAGTGGAGGATTTTCCTTTTTTTTTAATAGCGAGCAAATGAGTAGAGGAGCTACGTCAGACGGGTTAGACAAATGGTAAGTAGCATTAACAAAAATGTCAGCATATATTTTTCTTAGAAGTAGAGTAGATGTAGAAATAAGACCAAGTAGTAGGTAATAATAACTTACGAATTAGGCCCATAGTCATCAACCCAATAGCATCCTCGAAAAGGTCCAAGAATTTGGCCCCTAAGTTAAAAGCCCATAAAGGCAGCCCACATAAATCAATATTGACTGGGCCGATGTTGATCAACTAATTATTAACTATATTTTGGTCTAAATGATTTTATAGTGATTTTGTAGTAGGTCACGACGTGGACAAAAGCCCACGATGACGGTTCACAATTATGTGGGCTATGTGGATAAAAGCCCATGAAATCAGTTCGCGGTACAGGATTTATCTAATTTTTTATTTTTATATTTTTAATTTTGTTTGTTTCAAAAAATAATTGCTCCAACAATAAATTTGCAAAAATACAATCCTATAGCCAGTTGAAATGACGGAAATCAAATGTCACAATTCAATTATTAGAACTTCTCTTTCCATGAATTGAATTCGCGGAATATTTTTTTGAGCACAACGTATCTTAAGACAATCATAACTTGTACATGTGTTTGGATGAAGATAAAACTTATACAAAAATAATAGAGCTCAACAAGATGTAGAAACTTTTTCTAGTTTACAAATATTTGATTAAAGCCATATGGATATGAAATAAAATATTACAATATTCATATCTATAAAATGTAGTTCATAGATTTGTAACAATTATTATTTTGTATCAAGATATATCCAAAACACAAGGTCATGAGCTAGAAACGTGTAGATGCCGTTAAGCATTACAATTCTCATTTTAATATTATCTTCGTATGAATTTATATGTAAAAGTTGTGATTTTTTAAGAATTATAAGATATGCCCCACTAGCGAATGGATAAACTGAGGTGATTTATTTGTTCCCCTATGTAGCATTTCTTTTTCTTAAAGTCATAACTTTCATGTATGACATTGTATGGGAATAACAATTATATAACAATTTTACTGTTAATTGGCTTGTGCAACTTTGTACTAGCTCATAACATTTTCACTTGAAGCTATGATGAAGCCGAAACAATTAGGGCAGTAGAGGTCCGGACCAACGCCCGCGGCTACTGCACGCCCACGCCAGGCGAGGACCACCCGCGCCACTTCCCGCGCCCACAGCCGCGCAACGCTCTATCCCTCCGCTTCCCACACGCATGCACGGCGCCCGAGCAGCTGTGGCAGGTGAGTCACATTGCAACATGTACGACACCTGATTTATTTCTGAAACATCTAGATGAAACTTTTGCAATATATGTCTGAAGAAAGATAAAACACTTGAAATATGCGTCTAAAACACTTGCGAAACATCTAAAAACACTTGAAAAGCCATTGCAAAACATATGCAACATCCTGACAAAAACACTTGCAAACTTATGTGTGAAACATATGCAACATTCAAATAAAAACACTTGTAGCATACGTCTGAAAAAAAAAGATGAAACATTTGAAATAGACGCTTACAACATACGTGTATAGCCATTGCAACTGTGCAATATCCCGATCTACTTTCGCAACATCTATACGAAACACTTGCAACATACCTCTAATACATCAGCAATAATTAAAACATACGTTTGCAACATAGGGGGAGAGAACTAGGCCAGTATATGGAGGGAGGAGACGGCATGGTTGTATATGGAATATATTTATATACTATTGTTAGTAACAATTATAATTTAGGCACATATTAATTAAGCTAATATGGTTGTATATGAAATATATTTGTATACTATTGTTAGCATGCAAGAGAGATGCTTATATGTTATATTTCTCCTATAGGGAAGCGAGTTGAAGAGCATGTTATAAATTAGAAAGCAGAAACATTGCTTGGTGATCTATATAATCAATTTTTCATCTTCCACCCTATGAATTTGAGATAGGCTTATATGTGAACTTTGAAAAGTGGTGGAATCTCATATTCGAAGCTAAATAGCCTAATTTATTAAGTAGATTCTAATTCCTCCAAAAATGAAGGGATCCAAACAGCCCCTACCAGATTGGCAGTATTTGATTTCGGCCATTTCAAGTAGGGTACAAGTATAATTTTGCAATTTTTGTTACAGTAATTATTTTTGCAAGAAAATGAATTTAAATAAAATATGGAAAAGAAAAAATATCATATATAGTTAGTTCATACCAACCCGGACAAAAAAAACTAATTTGTGAACTCTGTATTTTGGTCCAAAAAAGATTTTCTGGTGGTTCCTTTTTCAGGTTGACCACTTCAGAATGCGCAATTGTGTAACGTGACGGACCGATACTCAGCAGCCCAAATCGGCGTGCTACGTACTCCTAGTAGAACGGGCACGCAACGTTTGTGCTAGGCCGGCCTGGTCTTGTGGTCGTGGGCCGGGCCTTCTCTTATCGTGTCGGCCACGCCACCTCGTCTCCTTCGACCATTCCCTCTGTCGCCGTGTCGTGTCGCGTAATTCTTCCTCCAATCCCCTCGTGGACCGTGGTGTCTCGCCGCCGGCAACTCGAGTACTCGACTCGGCTCAATAATCCACGCAACCTTCCGCCGTCGAGAGGCGTCGCCGCGCCTGCCCTCTACGCCGGCACGGTGCAGGGTGGAGAGCCGCCCGGGCTCGGATTGACCGGCGTGCGCTCCTCTTCCTCGCGTTCGTAAGTAACCCTAGCGTCCTGACAGACCAGGAATTTCTCCTTTCTCTGCATCACCAACTGAATCGAAACATTTATTTCTTCTCGTTCTGTTAGTTAGCCGGAGACTTGTTTGCGTCTGATTGCAATTCGGTCGCAGCTACTTTGCTGAACATATACATCCGTTTGTTCACAAACAAACCACCCCCAAATTAGGTGACAAATTTTACTTGTTGTTTCCGTAATTCAGAGTGGTTTGAGCTGCAAAAGAAATTGCGATAGATAGATTTTAGCTGAGAGATCATACATGGTCTGGTTTGACGGTTGAAGTCTATTTAGACCTTTCTAACTGCTACAGACTTCTTCATCCATTTGTGGTGCTTGGATTATTGGGAGCAGCAATACAAACTCCACTCAAATCAGCCCCAAGCTTCATTTGTGGTGCTTGGATTATGGGGAGCAGCAATACAAACTCCACACAAATCAGCCCCCAGCTTCAATTTCTGGAGCGTGACAATTCACAATTTACTATCCTCTCCTCAATTCCTCATGCTGTCATGGTTGTCATTGAAGGGAGGGGGGTTGTCGCTGAAAGAGGGATGGGGGATCCTCATAGTCATCAATCTGGACATAAAACTAGCAATTCTGATTATTTATCTTCTTTGTAGATATTTGTACATCAGATAGGTACATTAAACATTAAACATGTTCTAATTTTAGGTTTTGTTGTTTCAGAAAGTTATGTGCTAGACATTGATTGCCATGTCAGCGTGTAGGGAGATTGTCTCGTATCACCCATTGCCTGCACCAGGCGTGACAAACAGCCTCAAGGATGAGATCCAGTCAAAAGTTACAGAAACGGTTAGCAATGCGATCAACTCATTCGATCCAAATGCGTTGCCTCGGCATATAGAAGGGGCATTGGGTACAGCTGGAAACCTCATTAACTCATTTGAGCCGAAATGGTCTGGGAAAAAGGAGTTCGATTTTAACGGGGAAGATGATTTCCTTGATGGATACCAATGTCCTGATGAATATTGGGGCTCTGCACCTGTGAAGGTGCAGAAACCAGTTAACATTAAGAACCTGCTGGGCGGCGTTATTGCGATAATTGGTCGCAATTTGGGAAATACTGAAGTTGAACAGCCAAAGGACACCAAGACCAGCGTCTCATTCCTTGGGTCAAGCGATGATGGTAACACATTCTTGCATTCCTCAGTCTACATGCCAAGTGCTCCACCAGTGCTTGATGAAGAAGCCTTGAATTACAACATTTATAGGGCTGTGCTGGAAGCAGAGCCACCTGAATGGCTTCCCGACAGTTATGCCAGCGCGTGTATGCAGTGTGCTGCTCCTTTCACTGCCCTTACCCGTGGAAGGCATCATTGTCGATTCTGTGGAGGGATATTTTGCAGGGCATGCTCAAAGGGGCGATCTCTGTTGCCTGCCAAGTTTCGTGAGCGGAATCCGCAAAGAGTCTGTGATGCTTGTTATGATAGGCTTGATCCATTGCAGAACTTATTGATTAATTCTGTCAGCAATGCCTCACAAACTGCAAAGCATGATGTTATGGATTGGACTTGTGCAAGAGGGTGGTTAAATTTGCCCATCGGTTTAACCATGGAGCATGAGATTTACAAGGCAGCAAATACCTTGTCGAGTTACAGCCAGGTTCCTGAATTTCATTTCTTATATTCCGTATTCTGTATTTGCATGTTAGTGCTTTGAACAAGTTAGAGTCTGAATCTAATAAACCCATAAAAAAATCTCAATGCAGGTGACAAGAATAAACCCTGAGAAGTCTATTCCCCATGCAGTTCTTAGTGGAGCAAGTGGGCTTGCCATATTGACAGTTGCAAAAGCTGGTGCTATTCTTACTTACAAACTTGGAACTGGCCTAGTAGTTGCTCGAAGATCTGATGGATCATGGTCTGCACCATCTGCTATACTTTCTGCTGGTTTTGGATGGGGAGCACAGGTTTGTATGGTCAACTTCTAGTTCTTCACTTGGTAAATCGTAAATGGCACCACCTTCTGTTGTACTGCAAATGCAGTGTTGATGTTTTTATTTCCATAGCTCGCTGTGTGGTATTTTCTTAGGAACTACGTACCTCACTTATTATATGCTTATGAGAGCTTCAGTGTGGTATATTTTAACTATATTTATGTCTTCACTATTTAATACCAGTGGTTTGCTACAAATGAAGAATTGTGATCACAGGAATTATGCAGACAATGATTCATCACTCTTTTTTTGCTTCTTATAAGTTCTGTTTAGCGGTCACAAAATGATATGATGTTCTTTAATTGATTATAACTATTTTGCCTATGGCCTTCCAAATTTAGGGGTAGGAATGAACATGAATGAATCCATCTTGTCAGGCTAATTTAAATTTAGGTACTAAATCGTGACTTATTGTGCTGCCTGGGGTTCTGCATGCTCTCATTCATTGAGAAACATGTGTTTGAATCTTGCTGCTTTTTGTAGAAAATGGTACAACCATGATATCTTATGTGGCTAGCCTCATGAGTTTTATGACAGTACATCTTGTGCTGATTGCTCTTTTTGTAGATAAGTTCTGTTTCCATCTTATGTGCTTGTCTTTGCACATACAGGTTGGTGGTGAGCTTATGGATTTCATCATAGTGCTTTGTGGCCCAGAATCTGTCCGAACTTTCTGCAGTCGAATGCATTTTTCACTTGGGGCAGGTGTAAGTGCTGCAGCAGGACCTGTGGGCAGAGTACTAGAAGCAGACCTGAGAGCTGGTGATAAAGGATCAGGAGTTTGCTATACATATAGCTGCAGCAAAGGTAACTGTTGTCTTACTTTGTAACCTTCAACCTTTCGATGTCATGTTCAATCTGCCAGTGCTTTGGGCTTGTCACAATGGAAACAATAAATTTGCAATGACCATACAATTTATCAGAAAATGTAGCCTACAGAAGCTTTATTCACTTTTGCCATTTCATAAGTTTAATGCATTGTCGGAATTGAATATTTATTTGTTTAGATCTTAGCCCATTTGTTAACGTCTTTCCTGATCGAGTGCTAACATGGATGTTCTTTTGAGTTCATTTCCCAACTTTTGAGTGTTTACCATTGGGATCCTTCAGGGAAAATGTACCATCATAGTCATGGATGAATCTATCTGCTCTGGCCTCTCTGGTTATCCGTACTCACAACTAATTTCACAGTTTTTTTTTTTTGACTTACAGGTGCATTTATTGGTGTCTCATTAGAAGGGAATCTAGTTGCCACACGGATGGACGCTAATCTGCGCTTCTATGGTGACCCATATCTGACAACCAGCGACATTCTCACGGGGAATGTGGAACGTCCAAATGCTGCCAAATTTCTTTACACTGCATTGGATAATCTATACTCAGGGCTGGATTGTTAGTGTACATATGTACTTTGATTATTTTGATTGGACAAGCTGTATATATGCACAAAATTCTTTCGTTTGTTTGGCAGGGCTCAATTTGTACTAATGAAAGAGTAAAGTCTGTTTCACTCCCCTGAAGTTGTCTCTGTTTTTAAGACCTCCCTGAACTCAAATACCAGACATAGAATGTACCTGCACTGCTAAAACCGTGCACAGTACACCCCCGACACCGTTTTTAAGCGGTTCCGAAACCCTGCACAGTACACTCCCAACGCCGTTTTTAGCCGTTTGATGAAACGGAGTCCCCTGCCACGTCACCTCCACAATTGATAAGCATATTTTGTACAAGAAAAAGTCAAATTTTACGAACATTAACCACAATTTATTAAAATTATATACATGTTTAGGAAATAAAACTCGTACAGATAGCTTTGTATTTTTTTTCCGAACAAGATAGCTTTGTATTTAAAGTGTCTCCAAACTGATATTAACTTCTTTAGCAAATTCAACATATTGCAAGAGAAATTAAAGGTCAAATTTTATTTCTATAACTTTTCTCTAAGGCCGTTTGGATCCTTTCATTTGGAGGAATTAAAATCTACTTAATAAATTAGACTATTTTGGCTTGAAATTTGACATTCCACTATTTTTTAAAGTTTACATATAAGCCTATCTCAAAATCATAGGGTGAGAGATATAATTTGATTCTATAGATCACCATTATAGATCACCATTCTATGTTTCTACTTTGCAATTTATAACACGCTCTTCAACTCGCTCCCCTAGGGTAGAAATGCAACACATAAGTATCTTTCTCGTATAACCAACAATAATATACAAATATAATTCATATACAACCATATTAGCTTAATTAATATGTGTCTAAATTATGATTATTAAAATGAATTTAATTCCAATGATCCAAAGGAGCTAATGAAAATATGTTTATCGTTATGAGATGGAGAGAGAGCAATGAGTACAATTGATTGCGTGTACTTACTTCTGTAGAAGTATCTATATTTGTCCCTACTTGTGCTTCAACAGAATTATTAGAGTCCGTCTAGCCAGCACTCAAGCATTTAACGCTCTCTTATTTTTTTTCTTCACCGTCTTCTTCCTCCTCCCGATGCTCTGCCGCTGCCCACCGCTCCACCACGGCACGGTAGGGTCTCGTCGCGGAGCTCCACGGCATGGTCACGGAGCTCCGCCCAGACCCTACCGTGCCCGCAGTGTCCTCCTTCTCCCCTCTTTCCCCTGTTCGCCGCCATGGCGATGGGCACCCCCCCCGACTTGGCCTGGCCACCTCCACCACTTGCCGCCAAACCCTAACACCGCCTTCCCGTTGTCCCCACCGTCTAGCCGGCCTACCTCCCTTGAGTCCCTTCTAAGCCCGTCGGAGTTGGGGAAGAAGAGGGGGAGAGGCCGAGACGGAGAAGAATGAGAGAAAGAGGAATTGAGTATTGAGAGAGAGAGAAACACTCAAGTGTCATTTAGCATTACTCAATTATTATTGACACATACATCAAACAAAAAATAAACCGGAGTTGTTATATTTCAGATGCCTAAATTTTCAAATACAATTTTACATGACTTACTAATGTAATTAAAAAATCACATACAAGAGACAATTCATTATTTTTTTCAACACAAAAACAACGACAGAATTACATTTACATGTTGTACGGCAACACTAAAAAAGTGTAATTTTAAAGCGCTCAGAAATAATGAGAGCCCTCTACTTCGTCACATCAGATGGTTTAAAAGTAGAAGGAACCAGATGGAAGGAACTTAAGTTATGGGTCGAAAACAAAAAAATGTGGACCCAGAACTGGTTCTAATTAATTTTTGAGGGTATAACAGTATTTTGACTAGGCCTGTACAGGTGGTTTCTGAAGTGGCTGGCGATAGTGCGTGCCATCAAACAGGTGCAGCGCTGGATGGTGCTCGGCCTCTCGGGCTTAGCCGCTTAGGATGGGGTCCACGGCCGCCTTAATCATCACCGAGATTGGCGTGCTCCTGGCGACCTGGCCGTGGGCAAGCTCGAGAAGTCTTGGCCCGATCTCGTCTCATCTCTGCTTCTGTCTTTTCAGTTGGGTAGAGGGTATAAATCAATCAAACTATCTGTTGATTCCAAAAAAAAAGCTTGCAAAAGAATAAATCATCTCCTTTGTATCGCTTATTGGTAGTCCGTCACGGCTCTCAGTGGCGGCGGCCTCGCCTGCATCATGCCGCGCCGCATCTCAATTGCATCACGGAGGACCTTTGAGTCACTGACTAGCACCAGTTCTATGAGCAAGGAGAGCTGGAGGACAGAGATGCGTTACGAGGAAGAAGACGACCTGACGGCTGACGGGTTGAGCACAAACCAACCCGGATGAGCAGGGTCTGGAAGAACCGGAGGAGACACGGTCAGAAGAGGAGGACCAGCAGCAGGCAGGCGCTGGTGGCGAAGTCGTCAGCGTCGGCGGCGGCTGCCGGGGTATCTGCGACGATAGCCCGGTCGAAGCTGGTGGAGCAGCTGCGCGACTACCGGATCGGATTCCTGTTCGTCGGTAGCTGTACGTTACGAGGAAGAGGAAAAAATACTAAACTACCCTTTAGGCTGTTAAATTTTGCTTCCGAAGGTACCGATGGTTCCTCCCGACCACCGTAACAAAGCTCTTAAAAAAATAAAATAGTGATATGTCATATAGGAGAAGTGAAAATAAATACACACAGCCATATGTCTTAATATAAAATGTCACGATATATACATATATTATTATTATTAGCTCACTCTGGTGAAGCAATGCCTCTGCAAGCAGTTGACGAGCTCGTCGACGTACCGCTCCTGCCGGCCAGCATCATCGCCGACGACCTCCTCGCGCAGCTTCCTCGCGTTGAGCGCGAGCATCTTCCCCTCCTCGCCCTCCTCCACCATCACGCGCCTGACGGCCTCCGCCACGTCGTCCCTGCCGAACGACCCGTCGTCGTCGCGCCGCGCCACCTCCACGCCGACGCCCCGCTCCGCCATGATCCGGGCGATGAGGCCCTGGTCGACGATGAACGGGAGCATAACCAGCGGGTGGCCGAACCGGAGGCTCTCGACGACGGAGCCCCAGCCGCAGTGCGTCAGGAACGCGCCCACGGCCGCGTGCGCGAGGACGCGCATCTGCGGCACCCAGCCCGTGCACATGGCGCCGCGCCCGCGCGTGCGCGCCTCGAACCCGTCCGGCAGCAGCGGTGGCGTCGTCGACACGCCGCTCGGCAGGCGTAGAGCCCACAGGAAGCGCGCCCCGGAGAGCTCGAGGCCCAGGGCGAGCTCGTGTACGTTCTCCGCCGTCAGCGGTGTTGATTTGCATTCTTGTAATCGTGTCATGATCAGTATCCATGTTAGGTGCATTTAGTTTAGTTCATTTTCATTTGAACATGTTTTGTAATCACGCGTAGAATTCTGGGTGTCACGTTGATTGCACACGTGAGCACGCCGGGACCGCGTCCTCTGGCCCTTCTCCGCCATGGCTGGCATGCTGTGCATGTCGCACGGGTGCGCGCAGAATAAGCCACACCGTGCAGCGGCTAACCGTGGCGGGGGAAGTGGATCGTGGCCAACAAAAGGCCAAGTTGAATGCATCGGTGAAGCTGTGCCATTCGCAGTGAAACTAACTCGCCATCTCTCGCGCTCTGTCTCGTACTCTCGTGTTCTCGTTCCTGGTGATCGTGCTCCGGGCACCGCCGGCAGCAGCGAGCCACCGGCCCTAACAATTTGGTACCAGAGCAGGGGTGTATGCAATACGAGGGTTCAGTGAGTCCACCGAGAGAGCCACCAAACAAAAAGCGCGTCATCCCGCGGCAACAAATTCCGGTGATCGCCATGGGCGACACCGAGACCTCCCGCGGAAGTGGCGGCGTCAAGGAGAGTTCTCTTCTCTGGCCGATGCTCACCACCGACAACTACACCGAGTGGGCTATGCTGATGCAGTGCAATTACGAAGCGCTCGAGATCTGGGGGGTGATCGACCCAGGCACCGGCGATGAGCGCGCTTCTGCGCTCAGTCCCGAAGGAGATGTGGCAGTCGTTGGGGAGGAAGGCGACGGTGAAGGAGGCTTGGGAGGCGGTGAGGACCATGCGAATTGGGGCCGATCGGGTCAAGGAGGTGAATGCTCAAAAGTTACTGAAGGAGTTCGAGAACATCGCCTTTAAGGACGGTGAGTCCATCGACGCCTTCGGGATGAGGATAACCAACCTCGTCGGCAACCTCAAGACCCTTGGTGAGAACATCGACGACGTGCGCGTGGTGAAGAAATTCCTCCGCGTGGTGCCGCCTCGGTTCACTCAGGTGGTAGTGTCCATTGAGATGTTCTATAATCTCAAGGACCTGACCGTCGAGGAGTTGATCGGCAGACTACGGGCGGCGGAAGAAAGATTCGACGACAAGATGGAGCACGCCACCGACAAGATGGGCCGTCTCCTCCTCGCCGAGGAAGATTGGATCGAGAAGAACAAACACCGGTTCCATCTCGGCAACAAGGCTGGAGGGAGTGGCGGTGGTGTCGGATCCAAGGGCAAGGGCAAGTCGGCGGCGCGCCCGGATGGTGGTGCCTCGGGCGAGGTCAAATTGACCTCCGAGGGCACACCAAGGAGGAAAGGCCGATGCCGGAACTGCGGCATCTATGGTCACTGGGCCGAAGATTGCAAGAGGCCCAAGAAAGAGAAGAAGAAGGAAGTGGTGCAGCCGGAGGCGAATGTCGCCATCGGCGGCGCTGATCATGGTGGCGCCCTGCTGATGACCGCGTGCGACGTCGTGCACGGGCCGTCGCAGATCGTGCACCTAACGGAGAAGGTGGTTCCCATCGATGTCCCGGAGGGGGTATGGGTACTGGACACCGGCGCCAGTAATCACATGACCGAACGAGGTCGGTGCTGACACATCTCGATCATGGCATTCGTGGCACTGTGCGCTTCGGCGATGGCTCCCGCGTCGAGATTGAAGGGCTTGGGTCAGTCGTGATCCAAGGTCGCCACCAACAGCATAAGGTACTGACCGAAGTCTATTACATTCCAAAACTGAAAAGTAATATTGTGAGCTTGGGTCGGTTAGAAGAAAAAGGTTTTAAGTCGGTTTTGGACAATGGGAAACTATGTGTGTTTGATCAAGATAAAACAACTCTGCTGATCTCTGCACCTAGAACAGTTAATAGGCTCTACACAATCAAGTTTGGTCTGTCTGCACCAGTCTGTCTGTTAGCAAAGTCTGATGATGCAGCTTGGCGTTGGCATGCTAGAATGGGACATCTGAATTTCAGAGCTTTGAGAAATCTTAGCAGTAAAGGGATGGTTCAGGGTATGCCTACAGTAGATAGAGTAGAGCAAGTATGTGATGGTTGTGTCCTTGGCAAGCAGCATAGAGCTCCCTTTCCACAAGCTTCAAATTTTAGAGCTGAAAAATGTCTAGAGTTGGTTCATGTAGACCTTTGTGGTCATATTACTCCAAAGACCCCAGGTGGCTGTTCATACTTCTTGCTGGTAGTTGATGATAGCAGCAGGTATATGTAGGTGGAGTTGTTGAAGTCAAAGGACCAAGCTCTAGAGTATTTCAAGAAGGTTAAGAATAGAGCAGAGGTTGAGACCGAATCCAAACTGAAAGCACTTAGGACAAACAGGGGTGGGGAGTTCACCTCCCAACTGTTCACTATTTTCTGCAATGAACAGGGAATTAAGCACTATACCACTACACCATATACTCCTCAGCACAATGGAGTAGTGGAGCGTCGAAACCAAACAGTGGTAGAGATGGCTAGGTGCTTGCTCAAGTCCATGAATGTTCCTGCAAAACTTTGGGGTGAGGCAGTCTCAACAGCAGTGTACATTCTTAACAGGTGTCCTACCAAGTCTTTGGACAGTGTAACTCCATTTGAAGCTTGGCACAAGAGGAAACCAAACCTCAGTCATCTAAGAACCTTTGGGTGTGTGGCACATGTGAAGCAAAATGGTCCAGGTCTAAACAAGTTGTCTGACAGATCATCAAAATTGGTCTTCATTGGGTATGAATCAGGCACTAAGGGATACAGATTCTTTGATCCATCATCTAACAGACTTGTTGCCAGTAGAGATGTGATCTTTGAAGAAAACAAACCCTGGAATTGGGCCAGTGCAACAAACAACACAGAGAGTTCAGAACAAGAGACTGAATCCTTTACAGTGCATTATCAGAACACTGTAGCAGAACCGACATTAGCTGAAAATGCAGGAGAACAGCCTGCAGATGCAGAGGGTGAGCATTTTGCTGATCCAGGGGGTGATGTGGATCCAAATGAAGCAACTCCCAACCCTCAGAACAGCCCAGGATCAAATCAACCAGCTGGCAACATATTTGCAACACCACCATCACAGCACTCTGAAGAAACACATAGTGGACCATTGAGGTTCAGAACACTGAACAACTTGTTTGACTCCACAGATGAGATAGAAGATTATGAGTACAGTGGTGTTTGCATGTTTGCAGCTGATGAGCCATCCGGGGTAGATGAAGCTCTAGAGGAGCAATGTTGGACTGAAGCAATGAAGAGTGAGCTCAAGTCAATTCAAGAAAATAACACATGGTGCTTTGCAAATCTGCCAAAGGGTCACAAAGCCATTGGATTGAAGTGGGTCTATAAGGTAAAAAGGGATCCACAAGGTAATATTGTCAAGCACAAGGCAAGACTTGTTGCAAAGGGATATGCTCAAAAACATGGGGTGGATTATGAGGAGGTCTTTGCTCCTATAGCTAGACTTGAGACTATCAGGCTCATGCTAGCTCTAGCTGCTAATGGGAAGTGGGAGGTGCATCATATGGATGTCAAATCTGCCTTCCTCAATGGTGAGCTGCAGGAGGAAGTCTATGTACAGCAACCACCAGGTTTCCAAGATCCTAAGCAACCAGGCAAAGTTCTAAAACTATCTAAGGCATTGTATGGCCTGAAGCAGGCACCCAAGGCCTGGAATGCCAAGTTGGATAAGGAGTTAGCAAAGTTGGGATTCTGTAGAAGTGATGAAGAACATGCAGTCTACAAAAGAGGCAATGGTAATTCTCTGTTGCTCTTGGGAGTGTATGTGGATGACCTTGTCATTTGTGGGCCTGACAGCAAGAAAATTCAGGAGTTCAAGCAACAAATGAACAGAACCTTCTGCATGAGTGACCTAGGCTTGCTAAGCTACTACATGGGAATGGAAGTGAAACAGAGACCTGGTGAAATAACCATCTATCAGAGGGCATATGCAGCAAAGATTGTTGACCAATGTGGCATGACAAGTTGCAACTCTGTAGACACACCAATGGAACAAAATTGCAAGCTGTTACCTGGGAAACCAAATCTAGCAAGAGATGCAACCAAATTCAGGAGTATAGTTGGTAGCTTGAGGTATCTTGTGAACACAAGGCCTGACATAGCCTTTCCAGTTGGCATGGTCAGCAGGTTCATGGAGGCACCCACTACTGAACATTGGGCTGCACTGAAGAGGATTGTCAGATACATTTCAGGCACAACTGAATATGGGTGCAAATACACTTATAGATCATTCACCAATCTGAAGCTCTTGGGTTACTCTGATAGTGACCATGCTGATGACTTGGAGAAAAGGAAAAGCACATCTGGTGTTGTTTTTTTCTTGAATGGCAATGTGGTGACCTGGACTTCTCAGAAGCAAAGAGTGGTGTCATTGTCGAGCTGTGAAGCCGAGTACATAGCTGCAGCTTTAGCAGCATGTCAAGGAGTTTGGTTGGTCAGGCTCATTGCAGACTTGACTGGTGAGAAGATGCAGAAATTCAGACTTCTGATGGACAGTAAATCAGCCATTGAGCTGAGTAAGAATCCAGTGTACCACGAGAGGAGCAAACACATTGACACTCGCTACCACTTCATAAGAGAGTGTGTTGCAGATGGCATTGCAGAGGTTGATCATGTTAGCACCGACAGACAACTTGCAGACATCCTGACAAAACCTCTCGGGAGGATCAAATTTGTGGAGATGCGTCAACAGTGGGAGTCGGCGACGTGTGTCACGATTAAGGGGGTGAAATGTTGATTTGCATTCTTGTAATCGTGTCATGATCAGTATCCATGTTAGGTGCATTTAGTTTAGTTCATTTTCATTTGAACATGTTTTGTAATCACGCGTAGAATTCTGGGTGTCACGTTGATTGCACACGTGAGCACGCCGGGACCGCGTCCTCTGGCCCTTCTCCGCCATGGCTGGCATGCCGTGCATGTCGCACGGGTGAGCGCAGAATAAGCCACACCGTGCAGCGGCTAACCGTGGCGGGGGAAGTGGATCGTGGCCAACAAAAGGCCAAGTTGAATGCATCGGTGAAGCTGTGCCATTTGCAGTGAAACTAACTCGCCATCTCTCGCGCTCTGTCTCGTACTCTCGTGTTCTCGTTCCTGGTGATCGTGCTCCGGTACCGCCGGCAGCAGCGAGCCACCGGCCCTAACAAGCGGCGCCTCGCTGCCAAGCGCGACGTACAGGACGCTCCCCGACGGCTGCTCGTCGAGCCACTGTAAGGCACCTGGTGAGCGTGCCGCCGCTTCATTGCTACTGCTACCGTTGCCATGGTCACCGTCGTCGTCGTCGTCGTCACGGCGATCGTCCGGCAGCAGGAGGCCGGTGGGCAGGACTGGCTTGCGGTAGAGCTCCGCGAGCAGGGGGAACACCCGGCCGGGCTCCACCTCCGGGCAGCTGCGTATGAACAGGAGGCGGCAGCGCTGCTCGGTCCGCCAGAAGCGCTCGAAGTCTGCGACGTCGGACTCGTTGACCTGGGTGGCAGCGGCGACCCAGGCGGCCTCGTGTCGGCGGAAGGCGAGGAAAGCTGATGGGGACGGGAAGAACCACCTCGGCATCGGCATGAAGTCCTCGACGGTGACCCGGGGGTGGTCGGCGTTCTCCTGACGCGGTCCGAAGTACGCGACCATGGTGGCCGTCAAGATTTGGAACATCGCACAAGCAACCTCGTGTTGCTCAGCGATGGGGCAGATCCAGTAGTGCGCGAAGTCGACGACGATCCAGTCGGGCCTCCTCGCGAACGCCGCCACCGCGTGCTCCCCTCCTCTCCACCAGCCACCGGCGCAGGCGTCTGCAAGGAAGTCCGCGAAGGGAGCGGCGAGGCCGTCGAAGGCGGTCTTGAGGAGGTCGACCTTGTCAGGCGGCACGTCGGCCGTGGACTCGGCGCCCTCCGGCAGCCCGTCCACGGCCGGCAGCGGCAGGACCACCGTCCGGACGCCGGCAGACAGGGCGGCGGGCACCGGCGGGAGCCTGGAGACGTTCCTCGGCGTGGAGACGAAGGTGACGGCGTGGCCCCGCGCCGCCAGCCGCTTGGAGAGCTCGAGGAACGGGATGAGGTGGCCGAACGCCAGCCATGGGAACACCACGAGGTGGAGAGGACCGGCTCCGGCTGTGGCTTCCTGCTCCTGCTGGTGGTGCTGCTGATCTCCGGCCATTGATGCGATTTGCCAAGCTAAAAAATGAAAAACGGATACAAATACTAGTGGTAATAATAATGGAGCTAATCAAGCATTGTGGGGGGCCATGCTTTGGCTCCTTCTATATCCGGGCCTTACTAGTTTTGAGAGTTTGCCGATATATATTCGCTGCACCTGCCGCACTTGCTAGTTCAATGACAGGTGGGACCATAGCTTATCTTTCAATGCAACTTTAGTTATATTATTGTAGTAACTCAATGTTCACAAGTCCTCTTTGTTGAAGTAGAAATCCTGCGCGTGGTACCGACACTGACGGCAACAGCACGAACAACTCGTGGGTTATTAACATATTGTTCTAGCAAAGATAATTAGCATCGCAATTACGCAAGCAGCCTATGACGAAATGATGCCATCAACATTAATATTATTAGACTAGCAACCATATCCTTACATTACATGGAGTTTAATTTAAAAATCGAATTCCATTTTACAACCGCCTCTGAAATTATAGAAATCCATAAACTTTCGGCGACCCATGGGACACATGCCCTGTTTGGTTCCACTTATAAGCGCATTTGTGGTCGTCCATCACCGAAAATCCTACCAAACGGGCTGTGTCGCGCCCGCAGCCGCCAATCGCACGTCGGCTCATACGCGAGAAATACACCGCGTTCCGAAACACGGCTGCACTGCGATACGAGGATCGCGACTGATTCCTCCCTCACCTGACTCTGCTCCCTCCCTGCTCTCTCCCTCTCCTCCAGATCCAGCCACCGACGTCGTCACCCTCCGTCCCCCCTGGGGCTGCCAGCCGTCATCCGCCGCCGCTCATCCCCAACCCGTGCGGCAGTCAGACGCCGGGTGCTACTGCCGCCGCCGCCTCCTTGGCTCCACGCCGCTCGCTCACCGCCGGAGCTCTTCCCGTGAGGCTCCGAGCTCCTAAGTTGATTTTGAAGGACCAGATGTAAAGAGAAACTTTTATCTGGGTCCAATTGCAAGGCTATAGACTCACAAGAATAGTAATAAACAGTGTTGTGCAATTTGAGAAAAGTCTATGCAAAATATCATACCCAAAATAATCAGGACAGCCAAACGCCTAGCTTATTTAGACAACAGATTCACTGGATCATAGCTCATCACATAATCCTGCTCAGCTTATAAGTGAGACTCAGAAAAACTGAACCAAACAGGGCCATAGGTCCTTCTTATCTACAGCGTACTTGTGGCTTGCCTAGGGAAATGCTAATGCTAGGAAGCGGGCGTTCGGGCGGCCGCACGCACCGTTGGTGGGCCGCGCAACGCCAGCCCAAGACCCCCGCTCCTCCGTTTCTAAATAAAAAATAAGCTAGTCCACGTACTTGTTCCTATCCGCTTGCCTGCCGCCTCCGGTGCTTGGCCGCTGGCCCAGCCAGGTGCGGCGCGCGACTGCCTCCGAGGCGCAGCGCCAGCGCGTCGCCGCCGCCATCCCTCGCGATGCCTCCATCCCCCGCCGCGCCAAGCCTGTCCTCCGTCGCGCCCAGGGTGCGCTGGCCTAGGGCGCGGAGCAGGTGTTCACCCCATGCCACCGAGCAGGTCCTTGCCCAGAGGCACACCGGCGAGCTCCATGCGCCGCGACGATGTTGAGCTCCGTGATTCGTCCAAGCAGTAATGTGACATTGCGCGCTGGAAACGCATGTTGCAAAAGTATGTTTCAAGTGTTTCAAATGCTTCATCTGCATGCTGCAAATGTTTCATGTGGATGTTGCAAAAAGTAGATCGAGATGTTGCATATGTTGTAATGGTTGTACACGTATGTTGCAAGCTTTTGTTCCCATTGTTTCAGTTATTTTTCTAGACGTATGTTGCAAGTGTGTTTATCTGAATGTTGCACGCGTTTCACACATATCTTGCATGTGTTGCATATATTTTGCAATGGCTTTTTTCAAGCATCTTCAGGTGTTTTTATAAGCGTTTCAGACGTATGTTGCAAATGTTTCAACTGTTTTCAAACGTATGTTGCAATTGTTTTTTATTTGGATGTTTTAAAAGTAGATCGGATGTTGCATCTCTTCCTTGCCTTTCTACTGCCTCGCCTCGGTGTCTCCTCTTCTCAACACTGATGATGTTTGGGCGACGTGGGCCCGCAAGGGGCTAGGTGGCGTGGGTGGGGCGAGTCGTTCGAGCGGCGCAGCATCTGAGCGGGTGGGGCGTGGAGCGTGGAGAGCGGCGTCTAGACGCGGGCCTCGCGCCGGACGTTCGGACGCTAATTGTTCCGCTAAGTTAAAGATCGTCCCCACGGTCCACAAGTTCATCCTCAAGGCATAGAAATTATCACGTTCATAATTAAAAAAAGTAATGATGAATGATCTAACCTGTGTTGGCGGTTTGGTTGGAAACTAAAGGTTGGTGGGTCCACCGTCCGGTGTACGTATATACTTACTGAGGTGTCGGAGTGACTGTGTTGAAAACTAGTTTATTTATGAATTTGTCTGGCCAGTAATCGGTTGTTTTAGTCCTTCCTACCAACTAGATTTTTTCATGCATTTACACTATCTTATAGATATATTATTTACACCATCTTGTTACTAAATTTACAATGATTTTTTCGGTGTAATTTCTTGCATATAGTGATATAATTTGAGGATAATACAAATATATATCAATTTTTTCGAAAAATAAATTATAAAAATTTTCAATAAATTATATATATCAGAGAAATATATGTTAAATTGTACATAAATTCTTCAGAAATTAAAAAAATACAAATGGTGGACGGGAGTGGGCCGACCGAGTGGATGGGAGGGGGCCGACCTGCGCCAGCGCCAGGAACGACCGCCGGGGACGCCGTCCGCGCCGGGGACGGCCACACCCGCGCCTGGGCCTGGGCGGCGGCCTGGGAGCTATGCGACGGAAGCAGCGGGGAGCAAACCTGTGCCTGGGCGGCAGCGGGCTGGACCTATGCGACGGAGGAGGCGGCGGAACCCACACCTGGGCGGCGGCGGCGGCGGCGGCTTGCGAGCTCTGCAACAGAGGGAACAGGAAGCAAAATCGAACGGCTTAGATGCCAGCCTGTCTAGGACCTACGGCACAGAATCCGGTTGTGTTGAAGCTCCAAAACAACCGGTTACGGTGTAGCAAATCTGTTACGTAGGCTGCGTTTAGTTCGCTAAATTTAGGAATTTGGCTATTGTAGCACTTTCGTTTTTATTTAGTAATTACTGTTCAATCATGGACTAATTAGGCTCAAAACGTTCGTCTCGCGATTTCCAACCAAACTGTGTCATTAGTTTTTTTTCGCCTACATTTAATGCTCCATGCACGTATCGTAAGATTCGATATGATGGCTACTGCAACACTTTTGGGGAACTAAACACAACCTTATTTACAACCAGGCTAGCAGATGAGTACTCTGTTAGGACATTTGTGTGTCAATTGTGACAGCTGGAAAGGATTGATCGAGCAGAGAATGGAGGGATGGGTACTTGCAAGATAGAAGAGCAAAGCAGAGTCAATTTCAAAACTTTATCACCATAGTATAATATTTTTCTCTCACAATAAATCAGCTTTCGGTCGGCTTATTGTCACGGTTGATCTCGCCTTTCCTCTCAACCTTGAGGATGTGGTCCATGGCATGGCGCACCTGATCTCAGCAGTCTGAGCCATCACCTTCCTGCACGCAGCGATGTTACTGTGCAATGTCGGGTGGGAGGGCGATCCGTTGGGAGTGTTCGGCTAAGCAAGTTCGGCTTGTTTTTTTCTAGCCGAAAGACTATTTTTCTCTCACAAAATTTCAGCGTAAACAGTGTTTCTAGCGTGAACAGTATCTTATTTCGTCCCAGCCGAACACTCCCGTCGTAGGCCTACGACGACCGCACAGCATCTACGGCCCTGACACTAGAATGGACACGCGGGGGCTTGCCGCGCGGTGACACTGACACGCGCGTTGGACGTACGATCCATGTCCGCGGCGGCAGCGATCGATGTCCGTTGCAAGGTACTCCGGCCGACAGCCCGTCTCCACGGCCAGCAACACGGCAGGGGCCACCATCACCATCCGGGCCTGGCAATGCATGCATGCTGCAAGGTTGCCGCCGTGAGTGACGGGCTGCCATCCGATCCGCTTGTACAGTATTGGAGAGCTAGCTAGCACAGCACCAGGAACGGGATGCATGCATGAGGTGGACGAACGCCAGCCAGCCAGCCATGGGAGGAACACGTACGGAACACCACGACGTGGGGGAATATCGCAGCGCGCGGTATGTCACTGACAAGTCGGCCTTGGGCATCATCTTCTTTTTTATTAAGGCTGCGTTCGATTGGCGAGGAATGTTGACCAGGAACTATTTCTACCAAAAATGCTAATGTAATTTGTATAGCTAATCCTCACCAAGAACTATTTCTGATCAGGAATGGCCATAAACGAATGAGCCCTAGAGAGAACAGCTTTCGCAATTGATTGACGTAGCCCTAAAGGGAACGGCTCCTGCTTATCTACTGCTTGCATGCTTTCCCAGCAGGAACAGTCAAGTCAAAACTGTCACGTTAATCACATCTAATTTTGAATTATCTATACTGGTTACTGAGTTATCAGTTTGGTTGACAGCCATAGACTGGAGGAACCAACAAGTTTGTAGATGAGGTATATATCTAACTAACGGAACTATTCATTATTCCAAATTAAATTAATCAATAAGTTTGTGGATGAAGTTATCACCATGTTCAGCTCAACGAAAAGTGGAGTAGCAGAGTGTGGTGGCCAAAAACGCCCAACCATCGAAGCAGAGGGGCACTGTTATAAATTTATTTAGGTTTATGTTTGTTAAATCTATGCTTTTATCTATAACTAAGTTATACATGATCCAATGAGTATGAAATTTTACTATAATTCAAACATACAATAATTAGGCCACCATAAAAATTTCAACACAATTGGACCATAGAAGCTGCAACTATGAATTATTCCATTTAATTGCAGAAAGACATAGATCTAAACCTACAACAAAAAATTTGTACTAAAGAATACCATATTATATATTTAC